CCCCCCCCCCCTCTGTATTGGCTAAACAGCAGTACAGGTCGGATGCTAGAAGTGGCTGCTCCGGGCTCGTTTCCAACTGCGCTAATGCACAGTGAGTGTGCTCTCGCTATCTCCCTCTAGCAGCAGCTGAGCTCAGCCATTGCTACTAAACGAGAAGAGAGCTCACGGACGCAGTTTGAACGAGCCCAGAGCAGCCGCTGGGGGTGCATTTCTAACATCTGCCAGTGCTTTGCAATGTACTGGGGACCATGGATAGCATGGGAGATTTGTTGGAAAATATGCAAAAGGGTGAACTCAAGAGTATAGTCCACCTTACAAAAATATAAATCATAATAAATGCACACACATTGATAAAAGACAAAAAAAAAATAATATGCATTTATTACATTTTTGCATTAGAGCCTGCAGAGCATTTCAACAGCGATCTGTATAAAGTGGGTGCAACGCAGAGGCTCCTGCAAACACGTCCTCGAGCACCAGGCACAAACCTACAATTATGTGTCTGGAGGAAGTTAATATGCTCCAATGAGATCTACTATTAAAAATCGCCCAATCTATGTTACTATCAAGTAGGGCTGCAACAACTAATCAACATAATCGATGATTGAAAAAGTTGTCAACTTTTTCAATCATCGATTAATCGGCTTCTGGTTAGTTGGCCCTGTTCATGGCTCCACACACGTTGCGCGCCGCACCTCCTCCCCACCTCACACTCACCGCTGCCAGACCCGCTCGCATACATAGCGGATGGTACATTGTGCTGTATATTATACAGAGGACTACAAATCCCAGCAATAGTACATTATACACTGTATGTATTATGTACTATTGCTGAGATTTGTTGTATCCCTCTATAGCTGGTGGTATTCTGCATTGCGCTATTAAGCAGCTTTTGGTTTTAACCCCCATTCATGGTTATGCGTGAGCGTTTGCAGGCAATGTTGAAGCTTTGAGGGTTTTCTTGCACTTGAGTGCTTTTGTTTTAGTTAATGGAAAGCTAGTTACTAGGGAGGAGGAGATGGTTGTTAGCTGCAAAATAAAAAAATGTGTTTAGCCCCATAGACTATAATGGGAACACTTGCCTGAAAAGAAGCTCATGTACTTTTTTTGGAGCTTCAAGCCATACAAAGCTCAGATGTGAACAGGCACTATTGAAAATAATGGGATTCTTTGTGTGCGCTGTCGCACTTCAGGAAACACGTGACAAAAATGCTCAGGTGTGAATGGAGACTTAAGCTGGTCATACACTTTATGAATTTCGGACAGTTCTTGATAAACTGGCCGAAACTCACACAGTGGGTACCACTGTCGGCACCGTTTTAGGCGGCATTCCTCGATCAGCTGATTGAAGGAGGCGGTCGGAAACTTTTCGAATGAACCGATCCGACAGTCAACGAGCTGCCAGATGTGTTCGGGTATTCCGACAGCGGCTGCTCTCAGAATACAAAAGGAAACAGCCGGGGATTCCTCAATCAACGCTCCTGTAATATTTTCTTCTTTCAGTCTGCAGGTTGAATGAAGAAAATATTAGAGTGTATGGCCAGCTTTAGGGCCCATTCACACCACATCCAGACCAGACCGTTTCTGGACCCAAAATGCATCCCAAAGCCATTTCTGGCCTCTGTTCCCACCAGCGCAGTCCGTGCAGTGCAGTATTTGTCTGGTCTGGAATGCATAGAAACGCATGAAACGCACTTGTAAGACCATTTTAAGCTAAAAAAATGAAGAAATTATTTCCAAATGTGGCAAAAACGCAATACACTGTGTTCTAGATCTGCTCTGGAAAATGGTGTGAACCCAGCCTTAGTGGTGACCTGACACTTCCAGAATTTAGTGGTAGAATTGTACCGCTGATATCCTTGGTTCGTAGTGTGAATTAGCTTCAGCTGGCAAGGAGTCTGCAAGTACTCCTGAAGCTGCCCATACACCCGACGATTATCGTACGATAATTGCGGGTGATCCCGCAATCGTACGATAATCGTAAGGTGGATGGGCAGCGTGCATGGTTTTCATATTACGAGCACGCTAGAAAACCCGCAGAAAATAAAACGATTTTCCATAGGCTGGTAGCGCGATCGCAAGACGCGCAGCTCGGGCTCGGGCTGCGCAAGTGCACACTGCCCGCTCAACATTGCAATCATCTGTAAGCCCAACCCTCAGCGGGGAGGACTTGCGATGATCGCAAGTACGATCTGCCTGCCCAAGATGGGCAGGTCATACGAACTTTTAATCACGTTACAACCATCGCACAACGAAAGTCGTGCGATGGTTGTAAGGTCTATGGCCACCTTAATAGAGATTCTCTGCCTGTGTTTACTTGCCAGCATAGCATGTAGCACCCAAGTCTCATCAATCAGTTAAGCATTATTGAACTTGCCACTAGTAGTAATCTTCCAATCTCTATATAACAACAAATACGTGACAGAAAGCATCTAAAAATGTCAGTGAAATCAAAACTTTCCCTCTCAAAGCACAGACAGTACAGAATACATACCGGTGCAGTTGTATCCATTCAAGAAGCCGTCAAGCACAATCTTAGTGGTCTGCTCAAAAACTTCCAGCTGCGAAGAGTCCTCACCAAAGACACCGTCAAACACAAACTTAAGGTCTTTATTTTTCCTTTTAGTGACATCCCGGTTGGAGACGCTTCTGCCATGGAAAAAATTTACTTCTTCCACTTTTGGATCAAACACCACAATGTGGTTATCGACCACTTGGACCACAGTCGTGGAATTGGCTAACTTCTCTTTTTCATTTGGAGGACGGACTCTAATTACCACTCTTACATGGCTGCAAATGTCAGCCTCTCCTGAAGCCATGTTAGAACTGCAGATCGAGGTAAAGGTTCAAGTTCTGGAAAAAAAAAAATGATAGAATTCCAAGTTTACACATGGACACTCCAACATACTGGTTAAATAAAGACCAAAACCAAGTAAACACATACAATTATAGACGCAAAGACTAAAGTGCCAAGTCCTGTAAGCTGTACGAAGAAGAACTATGGGATCAGGGCTTTTCCCCATAGTTCTCCTAAGGGTAAAGGGAGGACACAAACTAGCGTCCTCCCGTCACCCTAAGCTCAGTATACCGCGATCTACAGCTCGCGGTATACTGAGACATCGCGGCTGGGATGGGTCCCGACATTCCTGTCTGGATCCACCCAGCTGCGGGATTGACAGCTGGCTCTGCCTATCCAGAGGCAGAGCCAGCCCCCTCCCCCGTCCGTTCCGCCAGTCAGCGCTGGAGGATCGGACAGGGGAGGGGGGAATCCCTGCAGGGACGCCATGTGTTCGCTCACTTCCCGATCTATTCAGCAGACCTGTAACAGTTTCATTATCACAGGTCGGCTAGAACTATGAGGCTGAGTGATTTTCACTCGCCTCATAGTTCTCCTTTAACCAGTTGACATCCGCGGTGTTATACCCCCTTCCTGGCCAGGCCATTTTTCAGTATTCAGCAGTGCGGTACTTTGACTGACATTTATTCCGTCATGCAGCGCTGTACTGAAATTAATTTTATACCATTTTTTTTTAGGGACAGATAGCGCTTTCTTTAGGTGGTATTTATTCACCACTGGGGTTTTTATTTTTTACTATATTAAGGAAAAATTACGAAAATGTTACTAAAAAAACCCAACTGTTTCCACTATATTAAATGATAAAACATTTATTATTACCCAATTTTTAGGTAAAATATAAAAGACGGGGTCACGTCAGGTAAAAAGACACCAAACATGTCAAGCCTTAAAATTGCGTGCGCGAAACCTCAAAAAAGGATAATACCCAAAATTGTCCACAGGCGACGCTTTAAAAGCTTTTACCGCTCATCAGTTTAGTGTTCTCAGTGATTGATGGCCTTAAAATTATTGCTCTCACTGTGACGTTCGTGGCGAAATGTAACGTGTGTATCGCAATTGTAGTTTTTGCGCGCTGGTGAACCGGACGCATATTTACGTTTATATGTGCGTAAACGTGGGGGTGGGGGAGTTAACTTTTTTTATATGCGAGTTTTATTTATTTTTCACTTTTTTACATGTGACTTATTTTTTTTAATTTATATAAAAAAAAATTTGCACTTATTGTTATTGCCATTATATAGGGGGATAACAATCCCCCTATATAATAGCAAAGGCACACTGACAGGTCCTCTTTATGGAGACATTAGGGGTCTCTAGGACCCCTAATGTCACCTGTGGACCCCAAAAGAAGCTGATGAAGCAGAGATCTGCTTCATCAGCTTCTTTTCTCTGGCTATAGCAGCCAGATGACTGACAGGTGAATGCGGAAGTGATGTAATACACATCACTTCTGCATTCACAGCCCGGAGGGAGATCAGCAAGGAGCTGATCTCCCTTCATCTTCCTCCTGACACCCTCCCGAGCCGGTCCCGGGGCCGCGGATCCCGGGATTGAAGGTGAGGGGTCAGGAGGGGGGACCGAAAAAGCGGCGGCAGCAGACGGACAGACGAAAAAACGAGCACATATAGACGATCGGCAGGCTATAGAGCCGCCGATCGCCTATATGTGAAACACCCGGTTCACATATCAGCTGATCAAAGGAGGCGGCTGGAAAATCTTCACACGATCAGAGCCAGCAGCCAATGAGCTGCCTGCTCTGATCGGGTATTCGGATAGGCGACAGTGGTACCTGTCAGAATACAACGCAAAAAGCAGTGATTCCTCGATCGACACTCTGTTTGCATTGATGGAGAAATCCGCGGGTTGAACGAAAACAATTGATAGGTTTATGGCCAGCTTAAGAGCCAGCCGGCTCAAAAAAACTCAGGTGAGTAGAACTTTATTTCTACCCTTAGCAAAAAACGAGCAGTTAGCCCTTGCAGGGCGGGGGTAGCCTCACTACAAGGATTAATAACATTTCTGCCTGTAAATTTAAGCAACTGAGACTTCATGTTTCACAAATCCCTTTCTCCTGCAGTTAAATGTCTACACACACTCTGAGTATCGGTTGGTTACTATGCACAGCTGTTCCAGATTCTCTCTGCTCCAGTTATAGTAAATTCTCACATAGTGTAAATCATACATGCATTAATATGCATTTAGAAGTATTCAGAAAAAAAAAATGTATGCCAGTGTGAATGAGGCCTTAAAAAGGTAGTTCAGCAATGTGAAAGAGCAGACTTTATGAACATTGAAGCAAAGAATTGCAGGTTATCCTATATGGCAAACATTTAATCAGCAGTACAAGATATACGGTGATCAGTGCCACCTGACTGGGTGCTGCAGACAGAGTATTTTCTTCTGCATATGTTTAGTTGAAAACATACCAATGGACTCATCCTGCTTATTTAAGGTAACCCCAGGTCCATCAAATCCACTGTTTATCTTCTCAGCACCAAGATATCACCCAAACTTGGGCACCCAATATGCAAACATCTACCACAGCTGCTGTAAGGATCTCTGTTCTGTCTCCTGTTGTGCGCACCTATTAACCATCAAACTGAGGGGCCTCTCTGGAAAACGAGATGGGGGTCAATCAGCGATGCTATAGTCAATATTTGAATTATAGGGGTGCTGGATGGTAGGGATGCACCAAATTTTGGCAAAATGCCAACTTTTGGCCATAATTGCGGTGCATCCCTGGTTTCTCTCCACCCCACTGGGCGCTGCTCTGTGTCCCCTCTGACACAGCACAGCTTCCAAAGGGGAGGAAAGAAACTGTCACAGGAGGCCGAGCAGTGCAGGGGAGGAGAGCGATGTGAGTGGCCAGAGCATCACAAGAGGCCAGGCTCTCTTCCAGCACCGCTCAGCCTCCTGTGACAGATCAGGGGAGTGGTGCGGGGCGGAGACAGCTGTCACAGAAGACAGAGCCCTCCTCTCGGCACCACTCGCTCAGTCTTCTGTGACAGCGAGTCAAGATGCAGAGCGGGTACAAGCACTCAGTGATCGCCGAGTGTTTGTAAATAATTGGAGGACAGAGTATGTTTACCGTGTCCCCAATTATGAATGAATGGGAAGTGATCTGCATCACTTCCTGTTCATTCATTATTGTGGACATGATAAACATACTATCTCCGCAAGTTAGGAATGAACAGGAACACTCAGTATTGAGGCTTCCTGATCATTTATAACATGGTCTCAACACATGGAGGGGGTAATCCAGAAAGGACTTTAATAAGAATACACAGAGGGAGCTACTGTTCCGTGACAGGTTTGGGAAGCCTCAGGAAACATGCAAGAAAAAACAAAAGAACAGCGCCTTCTCCTTGTCAAATACTGTTTTATTTTTCCATAAATAAACTGAATTAAAAAAATGATATAAAGTCTGTATCATCTGCATTTACAACAAACGTCCAGTAAAGTGGACTTTGGTCGGCACCTTATTAAACCGCCAGACATCCAGAATGTGAGCAGAAGCGATAAAACAGCCTTGCTTCCCTCTTTCATACTCGTTTGCCATTTTTGCTCTGAGGAAGAGGGTTTATCCCTAGAAATGCGTCAGTGGCTATTCTATCGCTTCTGCTCACAATCTGGATGTCTTACAGTTTAATAAGGTGCCGACCACCTTATTAGGGGTTGGTTACCTCAACCCCTGCATTGCGATGGACCACAATCTCACAAGATTGGGAAAGCTGAGGATTCCAGAGTGTGATGTCACACTTACCCTAGTAAAGCATGTAGCCAGGATTTAAAATAAGTGTTTTTTTTTTTTTTACTGGTGATGGACTACAATCTCACATTCAGTTTAAAGGAGAACTATGAGATGAGTGATTTCCACTCACCTCATAGTTCTAAGCCGACCTGTGACAATGAGACTGTCACAGGTCGGCTCAGTAGATCGGGAGGTGAGAGAACACATACCGGGTTCCCTCACCTCTCGATCCTGTCACGGCTCTCTGCCGTGACAGGGGGGAGGGGCTGGATTCCCCTCTCCCCGCTCCGATCTGCCAGCGCTGACTGGCGGAACAGACGGGGGAGGGTACAGCTGGCTCTGCCTCTAGATAGGCAGATCCAGCTGTCACTCACGCAGCTGGGCGGATCTCGTCATCTAAGTCGGGATCCGCTCCAGGTGCGGCGTCTCAGTATACCGCGAGCTGCAGCTCGCGGTATACTGAGCTTAGGGTAACGGGAGGACGCTAGTTTGTGTCCTCCCATTACCCTAAGGAGAACTATGGGGAAAAACACTGACCCCATGGTTCTCCTTTAAGCATTTGTATTGAGATTGTAGTCCATCATGGTAGCGAGCTTGGAGCGGTGGCTACTTACCTTAAATTATGCCTCTTGATCCGATCATCTTCTTTCCAGCAGAGTCCCTCCAGCGCTGGTGCCGGTCTCTGATCCAACGCTGACTGCTATGTATTGTGTACCACGGAGTCTGTGCGGGTGCATGCTGCCTGCCTAGACTTACCCTGTGTCTCTCCTCTTCTCCCAGCCAAAGATCTCTAGTGTGCATGTGCCCGCCCCATGATCCTTCATGGCCACTGAAGACTTTTTCAGATCTTTGGATGGGAGGCAGTGAGCGGCGGAGACCCAGGTAAGTAATAACCTTTTTGGTGACTTTATTTTTTTGCATATATCTATTGCTTGCTAGCAGTAAATCTATGCAAAAAAGGAGGGTTAAATTGTACTTTAGGCCTGCAGAGCATTGTAGCCATGATCAGTGCATGGTCGGTGGAACGTCAAGGCTCCTGCATTGTTTACATCCCTGGCCCAGATCCATACGGAGGTGAGGACCTTCTGCTATGGGGCTAGAGGAAGTTGCTCAATGGACGTCACCGCACTCCATTGAGATCAGAGGCCCTTTAAACGTGGTGGCAGCTGGGACTTGTCATCTCTCTATTCACAGATCCTTATGAATCCAAC